ACAGTAAGGCAGACTGTGGGCGACCATCAGAGACCCCCACTCCGCAAGAAAGCGCATGTGTAATTGAAATGCAGATATTATAATTAGCTCCTGGGAATCTCGTGAATATGGAAATGCCCTCCTGGAAAGACTGTAAATATGCATGAGTATGCTGAATACAGAGCTGCTGCCGGCAAGGAACGGGCACGCTCACCTTTGTGGAACTGTTTGCGTGTGCGCCCAGCGCTGCAATAAAGAAAGCTGCTTTCTGAAACTCCACATTGAGCCTTAGAGAGTTTCTCCAAAGGACTTCTGTGGATAAAACTCTGGTGCCCGAACATGGCCCCTCTGCCGTGCTTCCTGCTGACCTGGGGACCCTCTGGGGCCTTCACGCCAGTGTTGGGGATTTCCCTGAAAGGAACCACAGATCCCCGGACCAACTCGGGACCTCGGTCAGAGCCTGACTTTATTGCTTTAGCAAGGCGTTCTTTTTGGTAACTTGTCCCCATGAGTCACAGGGGATGCCCTGTGCAGCGGCTAAGGATTTGGTTGGTTGTCTGGACGTTGCACTTGGATGGAGGTCAGGACCACTGCCTCCAAAGGGAGGATTTTGAAGGAATTCCCATTGGGTTGCATTTTGCAGCATTGAAAACAAATTGGTGGATCCCCGGGTGGGCTCAGTCACTCAGGAGACTTCGATAAAGTATTGTAATCAATGGTGGCCATTGTATAGGCCGGAGTCTGGGGCGAAGTGGCCTGTGAACAGTACAATTCATTATAATTGATTGGTTTGCCAAAGTGGGATGGAGGTGAAGTGGGATGAGTTATGGTATATTGATTTATTCTTTGATTGGCACAGTATTTCGGACTTGTGAAAGGGGTGTGTGCATATATCTACAGATCCCATGGTATTAGCACTGGAGGAGGATAATAACAAACCGCTCAAGAGTTGATGTTCTGCGTGTAGTATTGGTAAGTGGTGTGTTAGATGGAGGTAGGAAAAAGAGGATGTGGAATTATTACTTGGACCACAAATTAAAAGAAGGAAGGAGCTGGGGCGGGGAGGGGGGGGGGCAGGTTTGGATGCAGATGGGAAGAGAGCTCTAGCTCCATCATGAGGTGAACAACGAAAGGTGCTCTCCGAGGTATACAAGCTCCTTACGCCAAGGAACAGGGGTGGAGGGGCTGGTGACTATCAAGGTGTCGTTTTCTGTGTCAGATTTATGAGCCTGGAAAGAGTTAGCTGAGCCCGATAGGGAAGATCCTGAAAAAGTAACTAAAGTGATGGAGCCGATTATTAGAACACAAGATCCAGACTGGAATGATTTACAAGTAGGATTGGATACTTTGGTAACTTATGATGATAGAGTGCTGGCAAAAGCAAGGGAGGAGGCAGAAAAGTTCCATACGCAGGGGGCACAGGGCAGTGTCAGTGGACGACCACTTTCCCTCCACAGACCCTACATGGGATCCAAATGTTCTGCCTGAGCAGGATTTATTAACCAAATATCAGCGGTTGGTTTTGTTTGGAATGAAACATAAGTATAGAGGTAAGGACCCTGAAAAAGGTGCAGCACAGTTATCTTACCTTTTTTATTGGTCAATCAGAGCCAGGTATTAAATGCAAGCTGCAAAAACTGGGAGGGACAGACTCTCGGTCACTCAATAAATCACTGGAAACAGCCTGGAGCATATACAGTAACAGAGGAGTTGAAAGGGAGAAGGAAATCATAGGGAGGAAACAAATGTTGTTGGCTGTTGCTCTCACCCAGGAAAGCAGGAAAGGGGGGAGCGGCCTGGGAGGAAAGGGTCAGAAAGAAGGATTACATGGAAAGGCTTGTGAACAGACTGCATGGGTTGCACTTGGAGAATGATGAGAGTGCAGTCTGTAAACAGAGGGAGCACTGGAAGAGAGAATGCCCTCAGAGTGAAAATAAACACCGGAGATTTAGTGGAATGAGAGGGCCTGCCCTGACATACTTTAGATGAAGACTGAGGAGGAGCGGGGGAAGATTCAAAACCCTCCCCAGCAGAGCCCCTGGCTACAGTTAGGTTGGGGAATGATAAAGGAAAATTTCTTGTAGAAACAGAAGCTACTTTTTCTGTTCTAAATTCTTGTAAAGTGCAACTTATCTATATAGAAGCTTCTGTATAGAAAAGCCATCTGTAACAAATCTATACCAAAACGAAGGACTAACATGACTCAGAAACAGGCTCTTCTCTCTCCAACTGAGAGAAAGCAGCTTGGCCATTTGAGATGACTAAGTGGAAACAATTCAGAATTGTCATAAAACGACAGCACTGATTTTTCCAAGAACTGCCTCAATCAGTATCGACTATGTTGTTAGAACAAGAATGTTGGATGCTGATTTCAACTGAGAACCCCATTTCTTCAGCCCTACTCAGCCAGGAATCCAAAGCTTTCCATCTGATTCTTTCTTTGTATTTAATTTTTATATGTACTTATGGTTTTCTCAAAAAGCATCCTTCTTTCAGTCTTCTTTTTAATCATGTACCAGAGTTTTAGTTGAAATAATCTTACTGCAAGCATGCATCCCCTTTCTTATAGGCAATTCAGACTGAGCCATTTAAAAATCAGTTACCAATTGTATTCCCCGCAGCTCTCTGTGCACACTTATTTGATTATCGATCAGCTGTTGTCTAAGTCATACGTTACAGCCTAGGTTACCAGTAGTTACATATTGAATTTCTATAGCACACTTACAGTTCACAGCTTGTTCTGGCACCTGGTGCGTGGATGGTACTGTCTGCCCTCGGAGGACCTTTTGGAGAGGGGAGAAGAAAAAGAAAACAGGCCCGTTCAGCTTATCTGAAGGTAATTTTTTAACACAAGTTCTAAAGCTATCATTACTTACCAGCTGTGGGTACCGATTGCCCTTGGGAGCCCAGAAGACTTGGCAGCACTAGCTGTCTTCGTACAGGAACTTGAGAGCCCTTGTGAATAAACGCAAACAGCTGCAAAATAAGCTCTACTGAAATCCTGGAGTCACTGCATATGTGGAAATAAAGCTTACCTTCTCTTCCAACAAGCTGCTGATTGACAGAGAGGAAGAATGAGGCAGTTGAGCAGCAGTCACCAAAGCAGCAGGAGGGATAACAGTCGTGAGTGGTGCTGGAGGTGGTGGCGACGGCTGCTGCTGCTGAATGTGCTTACGGAGCCTTTTTGTGTAGCCAGCTCCATTTCTGAAGTTGTTCACAGCCTAGAGGCAGAGGAACATTTTATAAAGGTAATCTGAAACTTCAGCAGATACACCAACAAAACCTCCACGGAGTAAAATGACTCGTGTACTCCTGGAAATGCTATCAATCCTAACAGCATTCGACCACAGCTATATAAACACACCGCATTCAACACTGATGTCAATGAGGGTTAACTCAGGGTATCTGTATTTAAAATACTTCAGTGTTAACACCAAATTTGAAAGTGAGGTGATTGTGTTAAACAGAAGCGTGACCTGAATTTGTCAGATTGTCTCTAAAGAGCTGTCAGAGATAATGTGTTTGAAAAGTAAATTTAGCCTTATTCAATTTAGCCTTGCTTAAGGCTAAATTAATGTTACAGTAATATTGTCTTCTCTCTCAGCTCCTTACAAGCTCTTTGTACAACTGATGTAAAACTCATCACACTACCTGGCGCAGGCTCTGGTTGGCAACTAAAGCATCAGGAGAAACATCTGTCTGATGACACGCTGGGCATGTATATTCCTCAGACTCCAGCAATGCTGTTCTAATACCTGTGCATAATTAGTATAATCACAAGACAATAGTTTTTAGCCAAACTAAGGAAAGTTGTTGGGTTCTAACCAAAACATGTGTATGATTCATTGATGAATGTGGTCTTGAGTGTACAGCATGAAGCTACAAATATTCAGGAGTGTAAAATTTACTAGTATGCAGCAAATAGGTCCACAGTTTTGACATTTCACTGTTGTAGTATTGGAAGATGGGAGTGTAGGCTGTGTCTTCATGGTTCAACTCATCCTTTTTCCACTATCCACTACAGCAAGAAGTCAGGGACCCCAAAGTTAATGAACAAAGCACATCACAAAAACAAGTGTTGATAGGTCTGAGTTCTGAAGGTTTGAACCAGCTCTCCCGTGGAGAAGAATGTGGATTAAATGCCTTACTATCCGTTTGCTGTAGACCACAGTCAGTCACCAGAGATGGCTGTATAATTTTGTATGAGAGAAAGGGCTGTGGACAAGCATTTGGTATCTAATACTGTAATCACCTGCACAGTTAGGCACTCCTCTGCATGTAAAGAGGATGTAACTGGATCTGTAGAAAGAGAACCAGGTTTTCTGCCTTTTCTTTTTTGGTGTTTTGGTTTTTTTTTACTTTATACGAGACGAGTCCTTTCCTAGTCAGGGTATACTTAGGTTTTAATTAGAACAGGTAACAAAGTAATCTTGTTATCTGCTATGTTTGCTTTCAGAAGATCAGATGTGATGTTTTGAATTAACAATATGGGAATAACACTTACATTCGTCACAATAACTGCTTCCACAGCAGGGAAGAATAGCTGCATCAGTCATTATATCTTTACAAATGAGACATAACAGCTCATCTGGAATAGGAGCATCAGAAGAGGAGGAGGATGGCTCCTTGGAGGGAGGCCTTTCCCTCTTTCCTCTAGCATAAGCTTCCCTGGAGGGCGTGTGGAGAAGGAAAAAGAACAAATTTAAAGATGGGTAAAGGAATGCTTTTCCAAGCTTTGTATTTCATCAAAAGAAGATACTGGATAGAATTCTTCTCACTCCACGTTAGCCTTCTGAACTGTAGGTACTGAGCTGAAACTACTTTTCTGTAGCCATAACTCTGTAAAATAAAAACTCGGAAGGGGAGGAAATCTCAACCCAACAGCTATTGGTTACAGTTTTGTAAGAAGCGTTTGAAACATAAACCAGAAGCAAAATGAGCTCTCAAAGAGAACGAGTCCCCTGCCAACACTACCAAAATGTTTTGCAGAAATACAGATCCTTGGTGCACCACAACTTGAACCAGCTTCCAGGGGCATGACAAGTATGAATGATCACCCTCTTTTTAGAGGGGCAAGTGTCACAGGTCTTAAGGTTAAAAGGCAATGACTGCGCTTCCTCTCCAGTAATTACAGATGCAGTCCAACTTGATTGCATGGCCACTCAGATGTTTATGCACGCTTTCTCTCATTCGCTTTTTGGTCAGTCCAATTAATTCCATACTTACGCATTAATAACCGGTATTGCATATTTGCCGCTGTTTGTCAGCATTGCACCCTTCGTGTTGGGATCTTTCACCTCTATCATGAAACTACTTGGAATTCCTGTGCTCCTTTTCAGTCTGGGAACAGACTGGACGTTTTTGTCCTGTTAGGAAAAGAAATGCAGACATACCTCATCTTAAGAGCTACACTTAAACTGACAGTTCAGTGATGACTGTAAGAAGCAAAACCCTTTAAATCCTCTCCTTTTACCCAGCGTGAAGGTTGTTCAACTGAAATACTTCTTTTCCTAAATGAACATGGCCAGGATGTTCCTAAGTCAGCTATTGTTCCTAAGTCAGCTTCTCAGGGAAGTGGTGGAATCACTGTCCCTGAAGTGTTTAAAAGAACACGTAGATGAGGCCCTTAGTGACATGGTTCGTGATGGATTTGGCAGTCCTGAAGTATCAGTTGGACTTGATGCACCTCTTCCAACCTAGTTGGTTCTCTGATCCTGTGAAAGGCTTAAGCAGAGTTTTGATCTGAGTCGACATTCTTTGGCTTAACAAGAGGTTTCTTAAGGGTGAAATATCCCTTGCCTCATGATGCACTGGGAGAAGAGATACAAACCTGCTCCCCCCCACAGCACAGTTCAGAGGGAAAGCTTAAGTCAGGGCTCTGGGTCAGCCACTGGAGAAACATCTATTCACCAGCTATAGAGGAAGCTTGAATTCATACCTCACGCGTATACACTCAGGGACTAATGTTAAAGGGCATGAATACTCAACCAGGGACTTGTGTCAGTAAAACACACAAATATTCAGTAGATGGGGTCAACAGAAACATCTTGGTTTCATACAAAATCCTGAAAACGTGAACTGTCATTAAAAAGAGTTAAACCAGAAACATTTCCAGTAATATTGAAATACATAAGAATATGCATGTAAACTCATAGATGAAGAGATCTATGGACTTATTTCAGGTCTGTGGCTTAGAAAAAAGAAAAAATTACATTTATAATCCCGGCTTTCCCTTGAACTTTGAAGGGCTTTTCAGCATTGCCATGTAACCTCTCTATTTCCCCTCAAGAGAAACAGTTCTCAATACGATTATTCCTGTATTTGTTACTTGACTGCCACGGTCAGAAATTAAACAAGGTCAGAAAGTAACACCGGAAGTCCCCAAAACCTTACCCCATTTCTTGGGCAGTCCTTTCTATAGTGGCCAGGTTTTCCGCAGTGAAAGCAAACATACGATGGTGGAGGTGTCCCCAAGGGCTTCTTCCTGGGACTGAAAAGGTTTCAGGAAGAAAAAGGTATGCATGTGTCTCTACACAGTTTTTCCCATAATCATGAAAGGACTGATTTGACATTATCAACACTTACTTGACTGGATCATATTGACGCACAGACTGTATCATCATGGCTTTTATTTTATCTTCTTCAGAAGCATTGGCTTCAGCCAGGTTGTCAGTCTGTTTAACACGGAATTATTTGACACACACATTAGAAACACATGCAAGCTCACCCAGCCAAAGACAACACCGCTTGCTCAATCCTGTAAAGGGCACCACAATGCTAGCTGATGTTGCCTGAAAACAGATGCTTCTATGAAACACAGTTGTCCTGAGCGTGCGCTGGGGAGACTTTGTGCTTGTACAGGATGCTTATGTGCCCGCTAGCCTACTTGAAAAAGAGCATCCTTGGGCACTCAAAACCTTAGGCTTGACATAGACTTGTGTAACCGATCACTTTTCTTCCAAGTGGGCTGAAGTGATCAGTAAAAGAAATGACACTAGCAGTAGTTTTCAACTGGTTTTGAAGCTCCAGCCCATTTGAAGGAGAAGATAGCTACTGTGCATTTAATTGAGAAAGATTTCTGCAAGTTACAGTATTTACATTTTGCAGCACTAAAAAGAACACACGGTGTTAGTGGCAGGGCTGCAGTTCTTGCTTGCTGAAATTCAGCATCAGACACAAAAGCGCTGAAAGGAATCTTTCTGATCCCTCAGCAAGACACAAGGTTCTTTTCAGTAGAAATGTGACCATCGTGTCCTGTAGGCAATCCAAACTGCATTTCCCCCCCTACTAACTTCTTCCTACTAAGGGATTTAACTACAGTGAGCACAACCTGCAGGCTTTTCCAGGGGACTGTGTCCTTTTAATGGACATATTGTAATACCACCCACGTGCAGAACTAGATCTTGAAGCCAGCTGATTTTTCTGGTGTTTTTATTACACACTAGTCCATACACAAGAAAGGTCTAAGGGAGTGCCTGTAAATGATTCGGACCTCCAATCACCCATCTTTCAGATCAACCACGTACATCTTCACTTCTACACGCATTTGTTCACAAGAGCAATCAACCAGTTTCTGCATTTTATTAAACGGCTTGTTCATATACACAGTTTCTTATCAGTTATACGATCCAGATGGACATCTATGAAATCATTTCCATTAACGTTTACAGGAAACTTTGCAGATGTTTGACTAATTTGTTTGAACCCAAACAGTTTACAAAATATATCCAAACCTCACAAAACGTTACTAGCAATAGACCAAAATTCAACTATGGCATTTACTGCACTGTAATAATAAAACAAAAACTAGTTCACAGCACACTGCCCCTGTGCTAAGCCAGCCTGAATAATGTGTTTCGAGTAAGTAACAGTTTGGAGCTGCTTTATGTGTCCTTCGTGCGTTTCTCAAAAGATTCAATGTGCACACCACTTGGGCAGTTTTTCACATTTGAGAGTCAAACTTCACATGGGTTTACAGAACCAAGGACACACGCAGGGACAGCCGAAGGCCCCAAATTTCATTTCTTCAGTGAGAGAGGGAAGATGCTGCCGCTGGGAAGACCCCTCGTTCTTACAAATGAACTCCTGCCTCTCTTCTTAGGAGAAAGAACTAGCTCCCATCTTTTCCATTTAATTGGCTAGCACTACACTTTTTCACAAAGGGCAGTCATTAGTGTCCTGCCAAAGTTACACAGTGTCGAGCCAAAAGAGCAAGCAGTTCCATCCCCAAACAGGCCATTGCAACATTTTCAGCTGGTCACATCTGCTAATACACCGTAGATACACACTGGTACATTCCTCTAAACAACCAAGTACACAATTTACACAGTTGACACGGTCTGCACGCAAACAAATTTGATTGCGTTCTCCACTGTCCAGAGGCTGGAATTCACGGGACTGTGCAGTGTCCAAAGAATGCTTCTATGCCTCTAATGACTAGAAATTCAAAAACATTCATTCATCTGTTCAGTAAAAAATAAACGCATATTCAAGTTCTATAGTCAAAACATAGCAAGAGTTAACCTCTACTGCAGTCTGAAAATCTGCACTCTATTCTCTGCGTGTCACTGAAAGAGGCATTGCCAACCTACTGTAATTTGTATTTGTTCAGAATAAAGTCCAAACCTGTGACAACTGAAAAGTGCCTATGTGGCTAATGAGAGGAAACTAAACTAACCAACTTGCTGGAGATGGACTTACTGCTCCAGAATATCTCAGAGAGGGGCCCTTGTGAAAAAATGCTGAAGTTTATTTGAGAAGGAAGCATCACTACAGGAAACTTACTTGCAGTGTAGTTTGTAAATTAGTCAGCTCATGTCTCATCATTTAAACATGCATTTATACAGTTATGCTTTGACGAATAACTGCAAAGATGCCAAACTCACCATACCCCACCAAACCCAAACACCAATCTGAACCATCAGCCATAAAAGTAACCTGCCAATTTGTCTAGGAAAAAAAGAAACTGCTCAAATTACTGGGGGGGAAACAAAAAAAAAAAAGGTGTTTACTATGACAGAGTAGCCTATAAAAATGGAGAAAAAATATTTCTTGTATTTTAATAGACCACAGGACACACTCTCCAAATCAGTTTGGGAAGCGTGAGAATTTTTGTTCTTCTTTCTATCAGACCAAACCCAATCTTTCCTGACGATGAAAGCACGGATTCAAAGCACAGTCATGGCATTTTTTCCTCCATTGCAAACATACTCCTCCCTCCCAGCTGCCTACGCCTGTAGCTTGCCCCAATGAAGTCCTCAGGCCGCTGGTTAGGAATGGGCCGCAGTGTTTGCAGAGAACTACTGCTGAAGTGCAGTTTGTACAAAAAGCACAGAAAAGGCTGTACAAACTCACAACATTATTAACTATAGGCAGACAGATCTCGAACGTGGCACCAAGTTCAACTGTGCACACCTGGAACCTGCGTGAACTAAAGATGATCAGGCACTATCTGCACAACACAAAGCCACACAGGACATATCCTAGCATATGCAATAGGAAATACCATGCATTACTAGGCATAAATCCCAACATTCACATCAGAACTCTGCAAATTGATGGCGTGACTCAGTTTTCACCATGATGAATCAGTGCATTTGAATTACACTCTG